TTATAGTTGTCATACCCTAGGAAAATTCTGTAGAAAATGCAGTTTTCCTTTCAATTAAATTTACATTAAGTTTTCTTTCTGCCCTTTTTGTAAAAAAAGTGTTATTTTCCCCTAATTGTAAGGATAAGACCCATTTTCCCTGCCAGTGAAAAACATACTATTTGAATGTCCTTTTTTTTTCTTTTTCTTTTTTTTTTCCTTCCTCTAGATTTTCATTTTATATGTTTTTAACTATTTGTAACAATGTTATTTCTGTAAATGTTCATACTATGTACATTGTATATTTGATAGAGGCTCATAGAGAAGACTGGGCATGCCTAACTATGTAAATGCCTCTTTAAATAAAGTCTTTATTATTACATATGTATTATTATTATAATCTTCTGAGTGTTAAAAATCTTTCAATTTTATAATTGTCTATGAATTTTTAAAAGGACGAGAATTTTTTATTTTTGATATAATGGTTGATTTATCAGTAGTTTAAAGTATCACATGAGCAATTTCAAAACTTGAAAATGTTCAAAATTTACACCCCCCCCCCCCCTCTTTTCAATTCATGATATAATTATATCAATGTATAAAAGTTGATTATTTTGATAATTTCAAACCATATTACATTACAGCTTACTTCATTTTCATTGACATAAAATCCTTTGAGATAAGATTTTAAGTTTCTAAAACACTTTACATTCATTATCTATGAACAATTTTTTTTGCATTAAGGGCTGGCTTGATTGCAAAATTCATGTTTAATCAATTATAATCTGCGTATAAATCAAGCGCAGCTAATTGTTTAGTGTAGACAGAGTGGCGTAATTGTTATATCAATATTTGCAAAGATTTTCACTCCAGACTTAAAAAAAAACGTGTATACTTAGTGGCAAAAATTATATGGCTTCACTGCAGAGGAGTGTTGGTAATCAGTAAATCAATTATTAATATTACCTGCTGTCTCTTTTAAATAATTTGCAAATTGAATATTTAAGGCAGTAAATATCTGAGGTTTGAGTTAAAAAAAATAATGCTCTATGTTAAAATAATTACAGCTGCTTAACAAAATTCTTAAACTTCCAAAATGAACTGTTCAGTTTAAAAGAAATACAAATTTTTTCTGTTTAGTATACTTCCTGAATAATGTATTATTCTTTATTTGGTACTCATTTATAGAGTAATACTTCATTTATACATGTACATACTTGTGAAGTCTCCAAGTCAGTAACATGTTTTGATGTACGTGTTGTATTGGTGAAGACTCGAATCAATTAGGGGGCAGGGGACATATTCGTATGATGGCCCCGGTCAAATACTTTAATAACTCAGACATGGTGTTTTGAAGGTACTGATAACTTCTGATATTTCTCTGTCATTGTAATTCTTTCTTGTTTGTGTGTAGGAAATGAGATATATTTTTGGGTTTTTACCCGAAACTAAGCATTTTGGTAGCTTTGTATGTATTTCTGACTCTCCGAATGGAGGTGAAAAAGTTAAAAATCAAGCTTTGACAGTTGGCGCCAAACAAGTAAGAAATTTCAGATAAATTTTGTGAAAAATCTAAACGTATGACAGACACTTTATTTGTCATTTCTGAAAATGCTATAGCTTGCACTGCGTGTTACTGATATTTTTAAAGGAATCGGGCGGATTCTGGAGTATGCTGCACCTTCATGAAGATTGCCCATATTGGTATTTTTTTAGGTGTGATTTTGGCTGGGTGGGGGTAAATATAAATTGCTGTCAGTCATTTTTTGAAGGAGCAATGCATGCAAACTATTATTTTCTTCAATGTATGTCATATATCATTGAATAATGCTGTGCAACTGGTTATCTGCCTGTGAAACAGATTTTGAAATATTTGGAATTGTGTTTCTGGTCACACTGAAATACAAAATTTTTCATTTTTATGTCCCCTGCCCCCTTATCTTGTAAAATGAATTATTAATACAGGAAGTGGATTAACTTAGTTTACCATAGTTGGTGGTTCTTTAATCTAGGTACTTTGTAGAAAGATGCATCAAGGAGTACCACACTTGTGAATTCTTCGGTCTTCTACCACCTGTAAAACTTTTGGTCTTTTACCACCTATAGAAATTTTGGTCTTTTACCACTAGTGAAATGTAAAACTGTTGCTCTTATACGGCCAGTAAAACTTTTGGTCTTATACGGCCTGTAAAACTTTAGGTCTTATACGGCCTGTAAAACTTTAGGTCTTATACGGCCTGTAAAACTTTTGGTCTTATACGGCCTGTAAAACTTTAGGTCTTATACGGCCTGTAAAACTTTAGGTCTTATACGGCCTGTAAAACTTTAGGTCTTATACGGCCTGTAAAACTTTAGGTCTTATACTGCCTGTAAAACTTTTGGTCTTTAATCACCTGTGAAACTTTTGGACTTATACAAGCTGTGAAACTTTTGGTCTTTTATCACCTGTTAAACTTTTGGTCTTTTATCACCTGTAAAAACTTTTGGTCTTTTATCACCTGTTAAACTTTTGGTCTTTTATCACCTGTAAAACTTTTGGTCTGTTATCACCTGTAAAAACTTCTGGTCTTTTATCACCTGTAAAACTTTTGGTCTTTTATCACCTGTAAAACTACTGGTCTTTTATCACCTGTAAAACTTTTGGTCTTTTATCACCTGTAAAACTACTGGTCTTTTATCACCTGTAAAACTTTTGGTCTTTTATCACCTGTAAAAACTTCTGGTCTTTTATCACCTGTAAAACTTTTGGTCTGTTATCACCTGTAAAAACTTCTGGTCTTTTATCACCTGTAAAACGTTTGGTCTGTTATCACCTGTAAAACTTTTGGTCTTTTACCACCTGTAAAACTTCTGGTCTTTTATCACCTGTGAAACTTTGGATCTTTTATCACATTTGAAACTTTTTTTTTTACCTCCAGTAAAACTTTTGGTCTTTAAAATATATCACCTGTGAAATTTGGTCTTTTATCACCTGTGAAACTTTGGTCTTCTACCACCAGTAAAATCTTCGGTCTTTTATCACATGTGACACTGTTGGTCTTTTAACACCTGTGAAACTTTTGGTCTTTTATCACATTTGAAACCTTTTTTTTTAACACCTGTAAAACTTCTGGTCTTTTATCACCTGTGAAACTTTGGATTTTTTATCACATTTGAAACTTTTTTTACCTCCAGTAAAACTTTTGGTCTTTAAAATATATCACCTGCAAAACTTTTGGTCTTTAATCACCTGTGAAATTTGGTTTTTTATCACCTGTGAAACTTTGGTCTTCTACCACCAGTAAAATCTTTGGTCTTTTATCACATGTGAAACTGTTGGTCTTTTACCTCCAGTAAAACTTTTAGTCTGTTATCACATGTGAAACTGTTGGTCTTTTATCACCTGTGAAACTTTTGGTCTTTTATCACATGTGAAACTGTTGGTCTTCATCACCTGTGAAACTTTGGTCCCCTTCCACCAGTAAAACTTTTGGTCTTTAAAATATATCTTCTGCAAAACGTTTGGTCTTTAATCACCTGTGAAATTTGGTCTTTTATCACATGTGAAACTTTTGGTCTTCTTCGAGGTCTTCTGCCACCTGTAAAACCTGGTATTCTACAACCCACCTGTAAAACCTCCAGTCTTCTGCCTTATGATAGACCCTAAATCTTTACCATATTTTCAAACTGGATTAAGTGTCCAATTTAACATAACAAAAGTGATAATGTGATTTTTAACAAGACAAAATGAATAATATGATTGTCATGATCTAGAATTAACTGAATGTAATAAATGACAATGCAATAATTAATTAATTCTCGTCAGACTGCTCAAATATGCTATCTGGTATCCAGGCTTACAGTTTTAAATAAATAAAAAAATTAAAATCAAAAAGTAGAATGACAGTCACATATATTTTGAACATGTGATCTCACTATTTACTCCAGATAGTATTGTTTTAAAGATAGAGGTAAACTGTTTGTTGTTTTCACCTTGAAGAGTTAATTTATCAGTGTGTGTTTAATGTATGTTAATTAAGTAGACTATGATGATAATTGGTGAAAAGGTCATGACCTTATTTGTTATGATTATTGGTGTTGCTTGAAAATTGGATTTATACTGGTTACTGTGATTTAAAAGAAATTTTGGGATTTAAATATGCCGTGGGTGTTGATGTCTTTCACAGAATCTTGAACAAATGTTGGTTTCTGTGTGTTTTTATAATATTTTTTAGAATATTCAGTTATTTGTAGTGATAAACATTTTTGTCAGGTTATATGGCCTAATTGATAAACTATTATAGCTTGATATATAACCATAACCACTAGATAAATTACATTTAAACTTGGTCATATAACCTCTAAAAAACAACATGATTATGAATTTGTTAATACAGAATTTATTTAAGTTCAATTGTGTAGGAAACTGTGAGCTTTAAAACACACTCTTGAAAGTGTAAAGTTTCTTGCTCAGGGAAACAACGGCTTGCCATTGACAGGGTTTGAACCCACGCACTACCTACCACTCAATAAAAATTCATGATACAGCACAACTCCTTTATTTGAGGAGGAAATAAAATTTTATTATAAATTTATAGCAAAGGTGTGAATAGGGGTTATATAAATATCATGAGTATCCAATCAAAATTGGCTTAACAAATGTACAATTTATCTATGAGGAGGTTTGGGTTCTTGAGGTAAAGCTGGGTCTGGTACATGTATCAAGCTCAACAGTGTCAGGATGATAGACTTAAAACCTACAACCCTTTGCCAAGCCTTCAATTAAGCATCCCTTATATTGAGACAACTATCTGGTTGGCTAATAAAGCATGTCTTGATTGACCTGTCTATTTTATGAATAAGATATCATGTATGGATTTTACAATCAAGGAATTGTGTTGTTCTATTGAAACTGAACAGAAATGCTTCCAAAGAAATGAAAATTAGCAAGATAAGGGATGTTGTCAAGTGTGCTACGAATCTCGTACAACATTTCTATTTTGAAACCAAAAAAAATAAATCAAGTTTCTCTTTATTTTCAGGTTTTGAAAGAAGAAATCAACTTGAATCACAGATGCTTAGATGTTACTGTCTGTGAGTAAAAATAAACTCAAAGAATGCCAACAACAAGAAAGATAGTAAAAACACAGAGATGTGAATAAGCGCTTATAAAAAGAACATTAAGAAAATGATTTCTGTGAACAGAACTAGATTTGAAAATACTGTAAAAGTGACTCGTACATGTAAGTAAAAGTTTCTGTGTAAACTGTTTTCATTCACTTGAACAATCCAGCTTGAGATATGGCCTTGATAAAAACAGATATTTGTGTAATTTATAACAAGATTTTAATTTGTGTTCAGTGAAAAGTGAATGTTAATTTGTTAGGACTGTGTACGAGTTTAGTTCAGTGAAGCGTTAACGAAAGAGGAAGGATTTTATGGCAGTTATGGAAACCGTTGTTGCCGTAGCGATTGGAATCCTGTCAACTATATTTGTCGTGTCCCTAGTAGCATTAATTTTTGTGTGCTGCCAAAGATGTCGAAGGAGGGATTTAATCTCACAGCTTCACAGAGAAACCAGGTTGGTTATCAGTTTTTGTTTTTTTTTCATTAAATGCTTACTTAAATGGCTTAAATGCTCATTTATTTCCAAAATGGTGACCAAAAATTGGCAATGACTAAAAATTCATAATTTATTCTGAATTTACCTTATAAATTATCATGCCTGTAAAATCCCAAGTTGTGTGGTGTCAGACCAATTATTCCAATACAGTAAGGGAAAACAATGAAACTTGAAGGTGCACTCTTCCAGATGAGCAAACTATAAAAAAAGATCAAACTGAAAAATTAAAAGAGTTTAGGAAATGTATTGCTTGGTAAATTTGATGCTTTGTTCTGGCCTGAAAATAAAAAAAAGACATTTTGAACTTGTAGAAAAGTGGTATTCAACAGGATTTTAAATATCAAGTGATTTTCCCCACTGGACAGTCTCAGCTTTGAAAGTCTACTGGGGCTCTAAAGATTTAAATATCAAGGTCCCGGCTGTTAATGCGTAGGGAAGTTCCGGGGTTACTATGACCAGTGCATAAGCCAAAAGGCATTTTGCTTAATCAATTTATCATTGAATATAACCAAAAAAACTTATTTTTTTAAATTCAAGTAATTAGATGGAGAATTATAAAAATTTAAGTGGATCATGTATCATCAATAATGTTGTTATGATGGCGTTAATTAAGATTTTTTCCTCATAAATCATACCCGTAACTTGATAAATTAACTTTTAACAACCTATTTCATGTAATAAAGTTTAGGATTCTCAGTAATTTTACATCATATAAAGATGTATTAAGAAATTCTTATCTCTCAACTCAATTACAGTAAGTGATGTTAACAGGATAAATGTAAATAATAAATGAAAATTGTCAGCGACTTAATGTTGCGAGACACTTTAAATCATTGACCCAATCAGTAGTTAAAATGACTTTTTATTTATAATTGTGTATTTATGGGATAAAACTTTACCGATACCCTCCTAAATTGAAGAGTTTTTAATGCAATAAAAATGTCATATCAAATTATTCATACAAATAAAATGTGTGTTTCCGCTAGAAAGAGATATATGATTATCAAATATAGCATTTAACTCTAACCATTAACACGTACTTAATCTCTTATTACAAACTCCTTACAGTGATTACCTCCCTTGGCAGATTGTAATCACTGCCATCACAGACGTCACATGATGATGAAAGTCACAGGACGTTACCATGTAAAAATCGACTGTTACATAGAAAATCTAACGTCATTTTTCTCTTTCTGTTTTATTTTTATGCTCCCCGAAAAATTTTGGGGGAGCATATAGTAGCCGGGTTGTCCATCCGTCCTACAGTCTGGGCGCACGAGAGGACACTTCTTGGGTAATTCTATTCATTCTGTCAGTATTGTTGGGTACTTTTGTTCTCTTATTGGGTACTTTTAAACAAAAGAAGTACCCAATAAATGTCCATTCTTAGGAACTTCCATCCGTATGTTCTGAATTAGTGTCTGGCCCATAACTTCATTATTTGAAGTCGGATTTTACAACTATTTCGCAGAAATGATCACCATATTGAGATGACGTGTTGCGTCCAAAATTTGGGTCGCTACCTTGAAGGTCAAGGTCACAGCATGACCTTGAAGCAAAATCGTGTCCAGCCCATATTCGTTATTTGATGTCAGATTTTACAACTATTTCACAGAAATGATCACCATATTGAGACGATGTGTCGCGCACAACATTTGGGTTGCTGCCTTGAAGGTCAAGGTCACAGCATGACCTTGCAGCAAAATCGTGTTCAGCCCATAACTTTGTTATTTGAAGTCGAATTTTACAACTATTTCACAGAAATGATCACCATATTGAGACGATATGCTGTGCACAACATTTGTGTCACTACCTTGAAGGTCAAAGTCACAGCATGACCTGCAGCAATGTCGTGCTTCATTATATGAAGTCAGATTTTACAACTATCTCTCAGAAATGATCACCATATTCAGACGATGTGTCTCAGGCAAGTCAGTAGATAGAGTAGAAGTTCAGTGCAAAGAACAGTAACTCTGCCTTGCCTGAGTTTGGAATTATCACATGACCAATGAGATTTAAGACAGACCTTACAGGGAAAAAAGTTTTATGACATCTAGCCCGGGGCCTGGGATCATAATTGTGTAGAAACATGACAAGTGACCCTAGTAAGGCTCAAACCCATAATCTTTGACCGTAAAGACAAGACCACAACTTACCATCAAATAAAGCATTTAGTATCTTGTTATTGCATTAATTCTGTTAATTTTGTAATTGCATTTTTTGTCTGGGTTGCACATGTGCAAACCAGGGTAATAGTATGGTGAATGATGGGCGGCGGGAAGGCTGGTGGCGGGTTGGCGGGGAAAAAGTTTCGTAACAGTTTTCTCAGCAACTACTTATCACAGCCTCTTGATATTTAGCATACAGCATTGACACATGGTCCTATACTGTGGGATTCGATTTCAGGTCTGTCACTCATCCACTTCCTGTTCACCGACTTAGTTAAATTTTCAACATTAATTGTGAATGGTAGGAAATTTTTGTAGCAGTTTTCTCAGCATCGACTTATTGCAGCCTCTTGATATTTGGTATACAGTATCAACACGTGGTTCCTTATCATGGGATCTCATTTCAGGTCTGTCGCTCTACCACTTCCTATTTACCGACTTAGTTAATTTTTTGACATTAATGGTCAATGATAGGAAATTTTCTAGATTAATGGTCAATGATAGGAAATTTTCGTAACAGTTTTCTCAGCAGTTACTTATCACAGCCTCTTGATATTTGGCATACAGCATTAACACATGGTCTCATACTGTGGGATTCGATTTCAGATCTTTCACTCATCCACTTCCTGTTTATTGTCTTACATTAATGGTCAAATTATTATTGGTAGGAAATTTTCATAACACTTTTCTCAGCAACTACTTATCACAGCCTCTTGATATTTGGCATACAGCATTAACTAGTGGTCCCATACCGTGGGATTCATATTCAGATCTGTTGCTCATCCATTTCCTATTTACCGACTTAGTTAAATTTTCAACATTAATTAATTAATGGTCAGTGGTAGGAAATTTTCTTAACAGTTTTCTCAGCTACTTTTTATCACAGCCTTGTGATATTTGGCATACAGCATTAACATATAAATTTAAAATAGTAACAGTGTATGCCAATTCAACTTAATTTTTTGCACATTTTATTTACACTTGCCTATAATTGGTTTGCAGTTTAAAAAAAAAGTTCAAAACTCAGAGGAAGTAATTATTGGGAAATCGTTGAAGTTTGATAGATTTTATAATTGTCACATTGTCATTTCATATATAAAATGATGTAATTGATATTTCTTAACTTCAATGATGTTATGATAGTTTTTAATTATTTTGAAATACAGCCGAAGTTAGACCATAACTTTGTATAAAAGATGTCAGAGTTAATGGATTGATGAAATATATCAATAAAACGGACATTAATCAAGTTGCATGTTGACTGTAGAAGTGTGTTGTTACTCCTCTGGAAATACAGTATCTTATTACTATATTTGTATAACTGCCAACAGTGTGATTGATCACTTCTGCAGGACCTACATCGTTGAGAAAATAGTCCCTGTATCATTGAGAAAATAGTCCCTATATTATTGAGAAAATAGTTCCTGTAACATTGAGAAAATAGTCCCTCTATCAGTGTGTATCATTAAGAAAATAGTACACATATTAGTAAGAAAGGCCCGCATTGATTTGAAAAAACTGTCCTTGTAAGATTAAAAAAAGTCCCATATTAATCGAGAAAATGGTCCCTGTTACACTGAAGAAAGTAAAGTCTTGGTATCATTTACAAATAAATCCTGATATCACTGAGAAAATATTCCCCACATCATTGACAAACATTAGTCTTAACATCTAAGTTGGCAAATAAGTGGTCTATTGGCAATAAACTTTAACAACAAATCCAAAGCTTCACAAGCTTGGTACCCGATTTGAGGTCAAAACTACTTTCCCTTTGTAGAGTAGCAGATACCTTTAATCACTAAAGTTGATAGTAAAATTGTATATAATTATATACATTCAAACCAACTTACGGTCACCTCTTATCGGCGGTCACCTGACCTGAACAGCCATTTCGTGACGCGCCCGACGAAAATCACTCTATTTTATACATCTGTTTTGCGGTCACCTGCTGTCCACGGTCAACGGTCACCTAAAATACTTCCCTTCTCGTAACTTTGATTGTCTTTTAAACAGTCAGCGGCCAGCAAGGTGATTCGGCCAAGCTATCATCCTAACTTTACAAAGTTGACATGTGGCACCAAAGCTACTCGCCAGATATTAACACAAACCACAGACTTTCACGAAGTTTGCGTAATTAATCATCAGGGTCATCATAATTTCTAATGAACAATTCTGATTGGATCCTCTGTGTGCACTGCCTTCATCTTTTGTTAAAATATTTTAGAGTTAGGCCAGTTGTTTTAATCTTTCGATTTCATATATTTTTTAAAAGATAGAAAAAAGGCTGTTTCTGAATTATGTATTATTTCTGAGATAAAATTTAGTAACCTTGTATTTTTTTGACTAAGATTATTCAGAATTTAAACAAACATGTCTTCAATACTGTTGAAAATAAATATGTGATGAAAAAAACAACATGGATCTTTGCGGTTCCCATCTTAATAAGTACAATTAAAACCATAGCTTACGGTATTGCGCTGTAACACTCAATATGATTATTATCTCACAAAATTAAATTAAAACACATCTTACTGCGTACAAGTCACAAACTTTAATGAATATTTATCAAAGATTAATATATCATGTGCACTGTATGCAACTGACAGGTTAATCAAATCAAACAATGTATACATACATAATTGTACAGTTTTTGAAATTTTTATTATAGTGCTATTTTTATTACATGTATTTTGCCTCTTTATTCTTAAATAATTACATGTACATTTTGCTTTACATACTTTTAATGACATCAGGAATGAAAATATATAATATAACATGTGAATTTATTAAATTTGTCAATCAAGGACATCTTGATTTAATGATTATCTCTTGCCAAGCATGATCAGAATAAATTGAAAAGTGATTATCATTAAACTTAAATTTTTACTTAATGTAAATTAAAATGTGAATGTTGATCATTTTTAGTATTTTAATGGTAGACTAAAAGGCAAATTTTTTCAGACAAGAGTGAAAGATAAGGTGGTTTTTTTTTTCTAATGAATTTTAAAACATACTTGTTTTTAAAATTGCAATTTTCAAACATTCAGAAAATTTTTGAATGAAATACATGTAATGAAATAGCAATATGATTTATATTACGCATTTAAAAACATGCATGATTTATTGAAAGTAAAAATCAACTATCATATTAATTAAAGTACAGATCAAAATGTGTTTTATAAAGAATTTTTTTTTATTCAAGTTTGTCACATTTTTAGCTTGTCTATTTCGAGGAAAAAATTGAGCTATTTCGATCGCTGCAGCAGCGTTGTTTTTGTCATTGTTATCATCATGCAAAAACGTAGAAATGCAAAAAATGTAACACATTATTCAAACATTTCAAAAATTATCAACATGAAACTTGTAATACTTGCTTATCATGACAAGATGCAGTTGCTAGAAAAGGGGCATAACTTTGGAGTTGTTGCCCTTATTTATCTTAGAATTTTTAACAGACATGAGTTAACACCTCATGCACCTCGTGCTCATGTTGCATCTGACCTTGTTGGTAATCATTTTGCCTTGCAAGTTAGACTGAGAAAAACAGTATGTAACATGAATTAAAGAAAGCAGTTTTTAATACTTAATTATATAAAGGCAATCAGAATAATTATAATATATAATTGTTTTTCTCCATTTTAGACCAGATGTTCAACTCATTGTAGACGAACCACAACATTCCAAGTCAGAGGTAGAATTAGGGGAGGTGGAACTCGCTAACCCAAAATTAGACGAAATTTTACAAAATGAGCACTGGGTGGATGATGCATCGTAAGACTAAGTTATATTTCTCTTGCTATCTTGAGTCATTTGGCTCTTTAAATGTAATTACAATGTAGTAAGTTGACTATTTAGCTCTGTTTATGGAGAAAGACCCTAATTAATCCTTAATAAATTTTTTGAAACGGCATAAAAGAACGTATTGAAAAGAATATAGATATTTGCGAAGCCAGAGATACTCCTAGCTTCCATAAATGGAAGAACCAATGCCATTTGCCAGATTCAAACCCAAGAAGGTAGAAGTCAATGTTTTGAAGTCAGCTTATTTTAAAAGCACAGTCTTTGAGGTCCTCATGTCATGGGTCTGAATAGTGCTAGGTTCATTCAGCTGAGGAAGTTGTGGTGTATTCAGGGTGTGTGGTGTTACTCATAGTGCCTGCTTGGCTAATGGTAACCTCAGTTTGCACAAGCCCCTTAATGATCAGTACTTTGCAAATTTTAATGTGAGAAAATTACTCAGCTGCCTTACAAGATATCCCTGGTTTATCCGACTTCAGTTATTGCATTGAATAACACACTAGAAATTATTTATGGTCTTCCTTCAGCAGCTGCTGCAAAATCAACATATTTATGTGACATCAATACTTAACTAAAAAAAGATGTAGACAATATGGCTGCAATTAGTGAGCGTGAAGTGGATTTTGTGGATTACAATAGCAAATTTATTACGAAATATTAAAAGGTGTTTTGGTTTTATAATTTATATGCCAAAAGATGCAAATTTTTATTTGATTACATAAAAAATTGCTTCATATAATTATATTTACAAGTGTTTCTTACTACACAGTAAGTTAAAGAGGAAGTTTATATCATCTGTTAAAATGAATATGTAAATAACCTGCTGAATTTCTTAAATTGATTTTCCAGTCTAATTTTAGAGCTGTCCATTTTCAATTCAGGGATATCAAGATGAAAATTTAAAGTTAACTAACTTCTGTTATAATTATATAAAAGGCAAATAATGGTTATAATTATGAGCCGCGTCACGACAATACCAACAAAATGCATTTGCGACCAGCATGGATCCAGACCAGCCTGCGCATCCGTGCAGTCTGATCAGGATCCATGCTGTTCGCTATCAGTTTCTCTAGATGTTATAGAGTTGGTAAGCAAACTGCATGGATCCTGATCAGACTGCGCGGATGCACAGGCTGGTCTGGATCCATGCTGGTCGCAAACCCACTATGTTGGTTTTGACGTGAAGCGGCTCATATACTGTTAGTCCTAGCAATGTTTTAATTTGGCTATTCTAATTTATTTTACAGGGGATTAGTTCCACATTGTATTGCCATTTTAAAAACTTGTCATGAGCTTGCAGAGCGTCTTGTTGGCATGACGATGAACAACTCTGACAAGATACGTACGGAAGAAATGTTAACAGAAATAGTCTCAGTAGCAAAGAGAATCAACCCTCGTGTTGATGAAGTTGTGCAATCAATGTATCCTCCTCTAGATCCTAGATTGTTAGAAGCAAGGTATGTACCAATATCTGGATATAACCAGTTTAAAGCATATATGGTTTAAAGACTGTACCAGTTTCTGGATTGTACCAGTTCCTGAATTTGACTAGTTTTTGGATATGACTTTTTTTTATAAAACCTGTCTTGAGATATTACTAGTTTCTGGATAAAACCAGTTACTGGATAAAATGGAATCAGTTTTTAGATTGTACCAGTTTCTGAATTTGACTAGTTTTTGGATATGACCTTTTTTGGATAAAACCTGTCTCTGTATTGTATTAACTACTTTTTGCATAAAATTTAATATGTTAGTTTTTTTTAAAATTTCTAGTATGTTTTCCTAGCTTCTAAGATAATAGTAGTATCACTTTTTAATTCATGAAAATATAATATACCAAACTTAATACATTATTCTTTTGATGTTTTAAAGTACTTTATTTTTTGTGCCCCCACGTTAGTGGCGGGCATTTAGATTTACCCTTGTCCGTCCGTCCTTCCGTCCGTCCGTCCTTCCGTCCGTCCTTCCGTCCGTCCGTCCGTTCACTTTTGGGTCGCACGTAACTCAAAAAGTATTTGACCTAGAGTCATGAAACTTTACAGGAATGTTGATCAGCTATGTAGTTGTGCACCTGGGTATTTTGGTCTGGATATTTTTAGTATTTTCAGAGTTATTGCCCTTGACTTAGTAAAATTTGGCAATTTTCAACTTGTGTCGCATGTAACTCCAAAAGTATTTGACCTAGAGTCATGAAACTTTACAGGAATGTTGATCAGCATGTGTAGTTGTGCACCTGGGTATTTTCGTCTGGATATTTTTAGTATTTTCAGAGTTATTGCCCTTGACTTAGTAAAATTTGGCAATTTTCAACTTGTGTCGCATGTAACTCCAAAAGTATTTGACCTACAGTCATGAAACTTTACAGGAATGTTTGATCAGCATGTGTAGTTGTGCACCTAGGTATTTTGGTCTGGATATTTTTAGTATTTTCAGAGTTATTGCCCTTGACTTAGTAAAATTTTGCAATTTTTCAACTTGTGTCGCATGTAACTCAAAAAGTATTTGACCTAGAGTCATGAAACTTTACAGGAATGTTGATCAGCATGTGTAGTTGTGCACCTGGGTATTTTCGTCTGGATATTTTTAGTATTTTCAGAGTTATTGCCCTTGATTTAGTAAAATTTTGCAATTTTCAACTTGTGTCGCATGTAACTCAAAAAGTATTTGACCTAGAGTCATGAAACTTTACAGGAATGTTGATCAGCATGTGTAGTTGTGCACCTGGGTATTTTCGTGTGCATATTTTTAGTACTTTTAGAGTTATTGCCCTTGACTTAGTAAAATTTTGCAATTTTTAACTTGTGTCGCACATAACTCCAAAAGTATTTGACCTAGAGTCATGAAACTTTACAGGAATGTTGATCAGCATGTGTAGTTGTGCACCTGGGTATTTTCTTCTGGATATTTTTAGTATTTTCAGAGTTATTGCCCTTGACTTAGTAAAATTTTGCAATTTTCAACATGTGTCGCACATAACTCAAAAAGTATTTGACGTAGAGTCATGTAACTTTACAGGAATATTGATCAGCATGTGCAGTTGTGCACCAGGTATTTTCGTCTGGATTTATTTAGTATTTTTAGAGTTATTGCCCTTCACGTAGAAAATTTTTGCAATTTTCAACTTGTGTCGCAAGTTTCTCAAAAAGGATTTGACATAGTCAATGAACCTTATAGGCAGGTTGCTCAGCATATTTTAGATTTGCACCTGGGGTTTGGCTTGTGGATTTATCCAGTATTTGTAGAGTTATTTCCCTTGACTTAGTAAAAAGATTGACAGAACAGTGTCGCGGTGGGGGCACCCGTGTCCTATGGACACATTTCTAGTTTTAATATTATATGAATTTACAGAAATTACCGAGTAAGTGGTAGTTTTCTGAAAGAAAATACTGGTTATTAAATTGTTGAACATCAGCAGGTGTATTATGGGTAAGGCAGACATTAACCAGAGATCTTGTTCCTTATATGACAACAGTACTGGTTTGTTCCAGGAAGCAGACTCGAAAGTGATTAATATAGCTGTAAGAATTTGTTTCGCAATCGAGCTTAAATAATAAGTATTATCAGTGTAAAGTGCAATAAAGAAATAATAGTTTAGGTAACATAAGTTACTCATAAAAATGATACTTTATGAGTTTATTATGCCATCTCCTAAGTGCAATAACGGCTTAATTGCTTAAATAATTAAATAGCAATTAACCAGTTAATTAAAATCAGTAATTATCATCAGTCATGGTTATCGATACTGTTCAGAAATTAATGTTACAATAAATAAATACATAGAGGATATTTGTTTAGTTAATACAAAGTGATGTCATTATTAACGTCACGTCAGTAAGTTGGTCTCCAGTACTGTGTACGCTGGTATTTCACTGAAACAACATAACGGGCTTAAATTCAAAACAGTAAAAAATATTTAATTGATAATTTCACTGTTTCAAACACTGAAAATATCAGTTTTTTTATTTTACTGAAATATATCTACACAGATATACATACAATTAATATTAAGCTCCATGATATCTATGAACCACCGAAAAGCATGTATCAAAAGAGTTATAATATTGTTATTGCAGGTGTACAGCATTAGTTCTCTCAGTTAGTCATTTAGTTCTGGTCACAAAACAAGCGTGTAGATTGTCACAAAATATAGACTGGATTGACCAGTCGTTAGCTGATGCTGATGATCATTTAAAAGTAAGTACCAGTATTGTTAAATGAGTCATCTTCTCTTTGGTGCTTGTCCCAACCGTAATCACAGTCATGTATGAGCCTTATTATTGGGGACAAGTTTGATTTGTTTCCAAAATTTCATAAAGACTAGGCTAAGCAATATAAAAAAATTGTTTTTAAGGTCTTTTTAGGAAGCTGAGCAAGGCTACATAGTTATTTCTTCTTTTCAAAAGGCCAAGAGTTATTATACCCCCACCACAAAATTAGGGGGGGCTATAATGGATTTGCTTTGTCGCGTCCGTCCTTCGGTCGGTCAGTCCGTCCGTCGGTCCGTCCGTCTCCATTTTCGTGTCCACTCTATAAATCCTATACCAATTGAAGGATTTTCTTCAAACTTGGCTCAAATGTTCACCTCAACAAAGGGATGTGCAGAACCCATGTTGCCCATGTGTCAGCTCAAGGTCAAGGTCACAATTGAAGGTAAAATATCAAACAATCATATATTAGACAGTATGTCGTGTCCGCTCTGTAACTCCTACACTTTTTGAAAGATTTTCTTCAAACCTGGCTCAAATGTTCACCTCAACAAGGGAATGTGCAGAACCCATGTTGCCCATGTGTCAGCTCAAGGTCAAGGTCACAATTGAAGGTCAAATATCAAACAATCATATATTAGACAGTATGTCGTGTCTGCTCTGTAACTCCTACACTAATTGAAAGATTTTCTTCAAACCTGGCTCAAATGTTCACCTCAACAAGGGGATGTGCAGAACCCATGTTGCCCATGTGTCAGCTCAAGGTCAAGGTCACAATTGAAGGTCAAATATCAAACAATCCAATCAAATATTAGACTGTATGTCGTGACCGCTGTGTAACTCCTACACTAATTGAAAGATTTTCTTCAAACTTGGCTCAAATGTTCACCTCAACAAGGGGATGTGCAGAACCCATGTTGCCCATGTGTCAGCTCAAGGTCAAGGTCACAATTGAAGGTCAAATATCAAACAATCAAATATTAGACTGTATGTCGTGACCGCTGTGTAACTCCTACACTAATTGAAAGATTTTCTTCAAACTTGGCTCAAATGTTCACCTCAACAAGGGGATGTGCAGAACCCATGTTGCCCATGTGTCAGCTCAAGGTCAAGGTCACAATTGAAGGTCAAATATCAAACAATCAAATATTAGACTGTATGTCGTGACCGCTGTGTAACTCCTACACTAATTGAAAGATTTTCTTCAAACTTGGCTCAAATGTTCACCTCAACAAGGGGATGTGCAGAACCCATGTTGCCCATGTGTCAGCTCAAGGTCAAGGTCACAATTGAAGGTCAAATATCAAACAATCAAATATTAGACAGTATGTCGTGTCCGCTCTGTAAGTCCTACACTAATTGAAAGATTTTCTTCAATCTTGACTCAAATGTTCACCTCAACAAGGTAATGTGCAGAACCCATGTTACCCTTTTGCCGGCTTAAGGTCAAGGTCACACTTAAAGGTAAAAAATTTACTTAGAAAATGTTCTTAAATTTTAACATGTATTTGAATATTTCTGAAACTAGAAAAGGTATTTGCTTGAAACTTAAAATATATATGAAGTGTCACAATTAAGATATGCAGGTCAAGTTTCATAACTCTGTATTGCATTTTAACAAAGTTATGCCCCTTTTTAAGTCTTCAAATTTACATTAATCAAATATTAGACAATATGTTGTGTCCGCTCTATAAATCCTATACTAATGGAAGAATTTTCTTCAAACTTTACTCAAATGTTCACCTCAACAAGGTTATGTGCAGAATCCATGTTACCTTTGTGCCGGCTAAAGGTCAAGGTCACACTTGAAGGTCAAAAATTGACTTAGAAAATGTTCTTAAATTTTAACATGTACTTGAATATTTCTGAAAGTAGCACAGGTATTTGCTTGAAACTTAAAAGATATAATTATGAGGTGTCACAAATAAGATATGCAGGTCAAGTTTAATAACTCTGTATTGCATTTTGACAAAGTTATACCCCTTTTTAAGTCTTTAGATTTACATACAATCAAAACTAGACAATATGTTATGTCCACTCTATAAATTCTATACTAATGGAAGAATTTTCTTCAAACTTTACTCAAATGTTCACCCCAACTGGGGTTTGTGCAGAACCCATCTTTCCCTTGTACCAGCTTAAGGTCAAGGCCACACTTGAAGGTCAAAAATTGACTTAGAAAATGTCTAGTACATTGGGAAAATGAAAGGTTATTTGTAACTGTTTCGAACATGATTTGACAATATATATTTATACTAAAACCTGTACAATTAGTCTTTTTGTGCCCCCACTTTAGTGGCGGCATTTAGATTTACCCTTGTCCGTCCGTCCATCCGTCCGTCTGTCCGTTCTCTTTTGTGTTGCACGTAACTCAAAAAGTATTTGACCTAGAGTCTTGAAACTTTACAGGAATGTTAATCAGCATGTGATGTTGTGCACCTGGGTATTTTCGTCTGGATATTTTTAGAGTTATTGCCCTTGACTTAGTAAAATTTTGCAATTTTCAACTTGTGTCGCATGTAACTCAAAAAGTATTTGACCTAGAGTCATGAAACTTTACAGGAATGTTGATCAGCATGTGTAGTTGTGCACCTGGGTATTTTCATCTGGATATTTTTAGTATTTTTAGAGTTATTGCCCTTGACTTAGTAAAATTTTGCAATTTTCAACTTGTGTTGCATGTAACTCAAAAAGTACTTGACCTAGAGTCATGAAACTTTACAGGAATGTTGATCAGCATGTGTAGTTGTGCACCTGGGTATTTTCATCTGGATATTTTTAGTATTTTTAGAGTTATTGCCCTTGACTTAGTAAAATTTTGCAATTTTCAACTTGTGTCGAATGTAACTCAAAAAGTATTTGACCTAGAGTCATGAAACTTTACAGGAATGTTGATCAACATGTGTAGTTGTGCACTGTGGTATTTTCATCTGGATATTTTTAGAGTTATTGCCCTTGACTTAGTAAAATTTTGCAATTTTCAACTTGTTTCGCATGTAACTCAAAAAGTATTTGACTTAGAGTCATGAAACTTTACAAGAATGTTGATCAGCATGTGTAGTTGATGCAACTGGGTATTTTCGTCTGGATATATTTAGTATTTTTAGAGTTATTGCCCTTGACTTAGTAAAATTTTGCAATTTTCAACTTGTGTCGCATGTTACTCAAAAAATATTTGACATAGAGTCATGAAACTTTACAGGAGTATTGATCAGCATGTGTAGTTGTGCACCTGGGTATTTTCGTCTGGATTTATTCAGTATTTTTAGAGTTGTTGCCCTTGACTTAGAAAATTTTTGCAATTTTCAACTTGTGTCGCATGTAACTCAAAAACAATTTATTCAGTATTTGTGAAGTTCTTGCCCTTTGCTTAGTAAAAGATTTTTAGTTTTCAAAAAATATTTGACCTAGAGTCATAAGATTGACAGAACAGTGGCGCGGTAGGGGCACCCGTGTCCTATGGACACATTTCTAGTTTCACCAGAGATAATTTCTTTTTATGTATATGTATTTGTGCCACTAAAGTTATTCTCTTAACCACCTTTCCAAGTCGTCTTCTGTCAAGGACATTGGTGGGAGTATGAATCGCATTCAGCGATAGTTCTAGTCTTTCTTGATATTCTTGCTAGAATGTGATATCACCCCCATATTCTAGAATGTTTACTGAATACTATGTAATTTAAGTTTTAATGATGTTATTATACCATATAATTATGGTGTAAGATGTATTATGTAAGGGAGATAGACACTTTGTTGGTATGATGTTACTAGGATGCAGCCCAAACTTGAGTTACCTATTTAGGTGACTGTTGTCAGTTAAGATAATTATTAACAAAAATGACACACCAGTAGCCAGTATAGAACAAAGTAGAAATGTCCTTAAATACACTGTTTTCAGACTCTATTAATGTTACTTGCTTTGATTTAGTCATTTAATCTTGTAAATCCCTAAAGTGCAAAATGGATCCCAACAATTTCAAAAGCAGGGCCTTTCCATGACCCAAAATCAGTTGTGGAAAAATCTGTTACAGTAAGATTATAACTTAACTTGGGTTAGATATTATTATTCTGATGCTCATTGGTAAAACTGTCCGATCCTAAAGCATAAAAACATATTAACATTTCAATTTTTTTAAATGGATAAAGTGGGGCACTTAAAACAGAAAGATATGCAAAAGAAAATTAAGAAATATACTCAGAAACAAATTAAAAATTGTATTTTTGTGCTTCTTGTAGCTCGGTTTGAAATTTTGGGTCATTTTCATGATTAGAATAACTTTTCTGAAAAAAATTGAGTGAGCAAATGCGTCGGTGGAGTCCCTTTAAGAAGTCACATGTAAGAGAAATATTCATCTGAAGCTAGGATTGAGGTCAGATTCAGTATAAAAGTTAAGAGGCAAGTTATCATTCATAAACTCAATGACTTCACTAGTTCTAACATGAATATTATCAAGGTCTCAACAATTCAGATTATTTTTGTTTGATCATATTCATTTTATGGGGCATTTCTGATGACTTTTATCAGTTTTTAAGGTGCATTTAATAGTACCAATTGCATTTTTTTTTTTTCAAATTGGCAGGGAAAAAAATGTGAAATATTTGATTTTGTCTGCTAAATGAAAAAAATCTTTTCAAAAAAAAGAAGCTAAACTGTTCATATACATTTTCTCCCAAATATTCAGTCATAACTAAATATTGAGAACAGGAAGTTATGTACTAAGTTAATTTTGCTTAAACAGTTTAATAATTCCATAACTGATATTCAATAAAAGAGAAATGTGTATGCAGTTAACCTGAATATTCTTGTGCAAGAATAATTAATTTTTATCTCAACATTAACAGTATCAAAAATAAAATATTAGATGTAAGCTGATGTGCCTCTTAATTATAAAGAGACTTAAAGGCACAATAGGTATCAGATATAAATATTATTTCTTATTGTAGAAAGGGATAATAATAATAATAATTGTTTAATAACATTGTAATAACAGGTTTAGAAAGAATTAGATGCTTATCACTAGAATTAAATGGCTTCCAGTGTGAAAAAATTACTGATTATGGTAGCAAAATGTGAACAAAGTGGTATTTTGCCGTCCATACCAAATTATTGACTAAAGAACTGTAACTGTACTAATTGATAAAATGCAAAAGAAGGAAAAATTTCTCAGATACATGGCCAATAAATAACATTTTGGAAACTGATTATGAAATCCTAATTCATGCGAAATTCACTCTATTGACATTGTTTGTACGGATACATGTTAATTTTATTATAAACATTAATAAAATAAACAAATAAAACTATTGAGATATGATGTGATATATTCATGTAACATAGATTATAGGGCATAATAGGGCTAGATAAAGATGACTTTGTTTAGTTTGAAGTAGCCAATTTTAAAGATTTGTTATCTCATTCTAGGAAGTTAAAATGTTCATTTGTATATAAACAGAAGAAGAGGTGACTTAGTGGAGATTAGGGTGTTTGCTGGTACATTTGTAGAGGATTTGGGTACATTTGGGTACAAGTAATAGTATGGTCAATATTGATAAATTGACTGGCCAGTTTTGTATGAAACTTCCGTTCATATCAGTTACAACATTTAACCATTTAAATACATGTTGTTTTGAACAATCATATGATGTGAACCAATGGGCCCATAATTTGTCTTTGAGGTAAAGGAAAAAAAAAGAAAAAAGAGATGTTTATAAAAACAAAAATACACAACTTATAGTATCATTAGTAGATGTTGCAGGTAAATGTTACAGTTTAAAACCCTTTTTTGTTGTGTTTCAGTCTTTCAGAAATATCTGACTAGAGAATGATATTTTGTGTGTTCTTTTGGATCATTGTTTTCTTTGCAATGTTAAAGATTGAATGCTAAGTGAGGCTGGTCAAAGGGCAAAAGAGATGTTGTACTTTTAATTTCTTTTCATGGACATTCTTAGTCAAACAAAATCTGTTATTTTTTGTCATCAATCCTTGGCTAATATAAACTTAAAATTGTTTTTTACTTAACTGCAGTATGTTTTAAATTGCAGGTTTTACAAGAAGCAAGTTTTAATCTTGCTCCTGATGTCAGATCTCCGTCAAACTCAGTCGCTTCAGTTGACAGTCAGCAGCCTATGATGAATGGCCATGTGACTCAATTTAACCAATCATCACAGGTGTAACAAATTGATATATGGCTATCATTGTCATGTAATACTCTTCAGTCAATCAACACAGGTGTAACAAAATCATCTTTATTTGTCATGGAATGCTTTGATTTAGTCGATCAGCAAGAACTTTTCTGATTGGTTGATTGCCAATCTGTATAACAAATCATCACAGACAGGGCATTAACATGAAGAATAATGTTGTAAAAAGAAATATTCTTGTTCACGGATTATTTCTTGGTAGAGTGTAAACAACTTCTACCAATCCCAGTGAATTGATTGATGCAGCTGCAAGAACTGAACATGCGTGCACAGCTGTAAACAATGCTGTAAGATGCTGTGTTATTGGTTGACATATATATTTGAGCCAATCAACACTTGCTTTACAAATTTCATTTCATTCATGAAAGGAGATGGATGTTTTAAACGGACAGCAGAGTAATTTCTGTGCATTGTAAACGTTGAAAATAAAGTGCTACAAGCAGTACGATTAGTTGTCAGTAATTGTGGCTGCGTATCGACCCTGATGGAGAAGGAACATATGTCCTTTAAAAAACATTTCCAACACCCAGAGGTGGTCGATTTTATCTGTTTATACATGTATCTGCTAAACATTGAAGTCAAGTTCAGATATAAACTGTGATTGTACATGTATATGTAATTGCCGTGTACATAAACAACTTTTAATCTTTAAGCCATATGTTTTGTTTTATATATTTGTGTCAAGGATGCTGATTGGTTTAGCTTATTCTTCAAGATACTTTGTTAGATAACATATATGATTGGTCAATGTTTCTTCCATCTGATATTAAAGAGATTTTTAAATTGATGCCTGACAATTTAGGTGACTTCAATGCAGGATTATAACTCATTAAAAATAAACAAAAAAGTGGTAAATGTGAATAAGTCAAGTGACTGTAAACACACTAGATTTATGGCATAACTATGTTTACTTTTTAAGTTGAACCAGGGGTTGTATGATATCCCAGAAGTGTTGTTAAGAATCTGGCATTAGATGCTATTTTTTGTTACAATTTAGTGTTGTTGTGTCTTTTGATAAGATATCATGTTTGTACTGATAATAAATTTTGATTGTTGAATGCATTATTCTGTAACTAAACATTACATTTATAGCTATAAGATGTAACCATAATTTTCACATTTTAAATAATACTTCAGCTGGTTAAAACAAAGAATGGATTTGCAATTGTTTTTATCTGATGAATATTTTTCAGGACAGATCAGTTATACTTCAAACATTATTCTCATGTAACTGTGTTACAGCCTTTTATAATTTTTGCTGTATGAATAAATATAAAAAATGGGGAGTCAGTCCCATGTATCGAAAACTTTCAAATGTTGTGACACTGGATATTAATTACTCATTTTTTAAAAATATCAAGTTTTAATATGTGTACTTACTTCTCCAGTTTGATATAGTTCTACAGAATTATTTTTATAGTTATTTTTAATGAAAAAATCAAAAATTTTCTTTTTATAAACTGTTGTTGTTTTTTATTCTATCAATTTATTGCATTTTGATAATACTCAATTTCTATTTTTGTAATTTTTGAAATGATATAAATATCTTCTTTTAAAAGTATTGAAAACAAGTACTGATTACCATTATATGTAGGGACGTCTGTGGCCGAGTGGTTAACGTCATTGACTTTAAACCACTTGGCCCTCACTGTTATGGATTTGAATCCCAACAGGGTCTTTAGATTCTCTCATGTGAGGAAGCTATCCAGCTAGCTTATGGAACATCAGTGGTTCTACTCAGGGGACCATTTGTGCCTGAAATAATGCACGGAAGGGCACCTGAGGTCTTCCTCCACCAGTAAAGCTGGAACATCACCATATGACCTATACTGTGTTGGTGTGACATATAAACCAGTCAAACAAACAAACCATTATAGGTATTGTTTTATGAAAATCATTTCTAAGAATGTATAAAATATAATGTGTTTGTTTCCTATGGCAGCTTGAATTAATACTATGGTATATTAGTTTGTAATGTTAGATTTGGAAGACGTCTGAATTTTTTTTTATTTTTGCGTTACATATTTTCTTCATCTTTTATATTAACACAATTATGTGATGTTAAAATTAAATACTCCATAATTATAATTAGTGATATATTATTTGAAAGCTTCAACACTATAATCTTTAATAATTTTATAAAGGCAACAGTTTATCACCAAAGATTTGAACTAATTATTGAAATTCAGCAAATTGTTTTGAAAGGGAGATAATCAGTACCATAGATTTTTTTTAGCTTTTCAAGAGTTGTGTACCTTTTGTTAATGTATACCAGAATACATGTTATAATTGTATTATGTACAGCATACATATTGCTACAAAAATTATTTTACGCAAACATGATGTATTTGTTATTGTCTCAGCAATTTTTAGCATTGTTTTTATATAAAAAAAACTTTTGTTACTTGATTTTAAATAATGATAATTTTTCAATGTGCTTAGATTACAATGTGCCTTTAAACATGTTATGTGATGTTACATCCTCAATGTGCTTTTATCAAGTTAAAATATTTACATCAGTAAATATGCTTTAATAAAAAAATGTATTGATGCTGTGAATGATTTTAACTTTAAATTTTTGTATGAAAGTATTTAAATAAACAACTCAGTTATGATTGGTGAAATGTGTATACATTTTTGTTCACATAATATTTTTTACAAAACCCTTGTTGCTTTTATGTATGTATTCTATGCTTATTGAGGGTCCATCCGCCCTTTCAGGCACTGAGAGTATGGACCCCTTGGTTGTTTTAAAATCAAACTAGATACTCTTTTATACTCTATTCATGAAGGTTTATGTATCATAGCAACAATACTTCAGCTTTTATAAGACATGATAATTGATGTTGATTAAAAATTTGAATTGTTCTTCTGTAATATATGTAAAACAAGTGTTCTTCATCTTATAAAAAACCCTACACTGATTAACATAATGGGGTGGTTAAAAGAATATTTATTGTAGCCATTCTTTCTGTGTCCTGTTTATTTAAGACAAAAATATGCTTTATATTGACTGTGAATTGATATGATACCACTTTTGCTTTTAGAGATATCTTGATTTTTGCTTGTGAATAGAGCCACACTTTTATTATATATGGGACCAAAAATATATTTTTGGTGCCAGATTTATAAGTCTATTGAATTTAAGCTTTACCTACTCTAACTTTCCACTTTCAGTAGTTACTAGTAATCTTATTAATAGACTTAATTGTATACAATTATTCTATATTTGTTTTTGTTAAGAAATGCTAGTAGTAACGTTTATGAAACTGTTTATGGTGTTAATTTTGAAGAAATTAAAACAAACAGTGTATGAATGAAACATTCCAGATATTTGCCATATGATTATGTATAAAACAATTCAGACATTGACCATACAGTTATGTATGAAATATTCCAGGCATTTACCCTACAGTTATGCATGAAACATTCCAGACATTTGCCATATGATTATGTCTAAAACAATTCAGACATTGGTCATACATTTATGCATGAAACATTTCAGACATTGACCATACAGTTATGTATGAACCATTCCAGACATTTACCCTACAGTTATGTATGAAACATTCCAGACATTTACCCTACAGTTATGCATGAAGCATTCAGGACATTTATGCTACAGTTATGTATGAAACATTCCAGACATTTGCAATATTATTTTGCATGAAACATTTCAGACATTGACCATATATTTATAAATGGAACATTCTAGACACTTACTTTAAATGTATGAAAAATTTCAGACATTTGCCATATAATTATGTATGAAATATTTTAGACATTGACCATACATTTATTTATGAAACATTCCAGACATTTACCCTACAGTTAAGTATGAAACATTCCAGGCATTTACCCTACAGTTATGTATGGGACATTCCAGACATTTACCCTACAGTTATATATGAAACATTTCAGACATTGACCATACAGTTTATTTGTGAAACATTCCAGACATTTACCATACCATTATGCATAAACTTATGTTTGAAACATTTCAGACATTTGCCATACAAATATTATGAAATATTAAGACATTTTCACTACTTACAGAAATGACACGTTCCATTTATTACACATACTGTTACTTGTTTTGTACTCATTATTTGTGTTATGTACATGTTTGTGATTTTTGATACACACTATGCATACTGTATGACTATAATAAAAGAATACAACAAAACAGTTTTTTTTCTCACTATTATTTTCTTTCAGTTTAACCTAATAGAGTTAAGCTTATTATTGTAACAATAGTTGTAGTCTTATTCAAATCACTCTCATGAATGTTTTACTGTACTAGAAATCATTGATGTCATGTGATTTTAGTATGGGAGTCGGGGAGGGGGGCGTACCTTGGCTTATTTTGAGTATAAGCCAATTCCAGTCCCTTAGGCCAAAGTGTCCTTACTACAAAGGGAAATCTAAGCCATGAAATGTCATTTAATTTTATCTTTATCAAAAGTTATAAAAATAATATGAAGTACAGTATTGAATTGACAGATATTTGCATGAAGTCTGACGTGAAGATTTCTTTTATTAAATAATTTAAAAGTTATTTACCATTATGAAAACAAATCATAGCAGATACCTCTATTGTATTCAAAATGGTCAACCTTTTGTAGCTCACCTGTCACAAAGTGATATGGTGAGCTTTAATTTGTGATCACTTTTCGTTAGTTGTCCATCTGTCTGTCATCCGTAAACTTTTACTTTAAACGTCATCTCCTCATAAACCACTAAGCCAATTTCATACAAACTTGGCAGGAATGATCCTTCGGTGGTCACCTTTAAAAATTGTTCAAAGAATTATATTCCATGCAGAACTCTAGTTGGCATGGCAACCAAAAGAAAAAACTTAAAAAATCTTCTTTTAAAAAAACGAAAAAGCTAGAGCTGAAATATTTGGCATGAAACATTGTCTAATGAGTGTCTACCAAATTTGTTCAAATAAAATCCCTGGGGTCCAAATTGGCCCCGCCCCAGGGGGACATTGATTTTCCTTATATGCATATACATGTAGTGAAAACTTAAAAAAACTTCTTTTGAAAAACTCAAAGAGCTAGAGCTTAGATATTTGGCATGAAATATCTTCAAGTGAGTGTCTATCAAGTTTGTTCAAATAAAAGCACCGGGGTCAAAATTAACCCCACCTAGGGGGGTCATTGATTTTCCTTATATGTATATAGTAAAAACTTAAAAAATCTTCTTTAAAAAACCCAGAGAGTTAGAGCTTAGATATTAAGCATGAAACTTCTTCTGGTGAGTGTCTACCAAGTTTGTTCAAATAGAAGCCCCGTGATCAAAATTGACCCTGCCCTGGGGGGTACTGTTTTTCCCTATATGTCTTTAGTAAAAACTTAAAATCTTCTTTAAAATAAGCCATAGAGCTATAGCTTAGATATTAAGCATGAAATATCATCTAGTAAGTGTCTACCAAATTTGTTTAAAAAAAGCCCCAGGGTTAAATTGGCCCCGCCCCGGGGGTCTGATTTTCCTTTTTTGTCTATAGTAAAAACTTAAAAAATCTTTTAAAAACCCCAAAGATATAGAGCTAGCTTAGTAATTTCTCATGAAACATCTTCTAATGGGTGTCTACCAAGTTGGTTAAAAAATAGCTCCTAGGTTAAAATTACCCCCGCCCCAAGGGCCTATATACAGGTTAGCGATTTCAGGGCTATCATGGCCTTCTTGTTTCTTTTTCAATATACCTAAACATGAGATAAAATCAAGGAAGATATTACTTTAAAAAGAATTAACCATTAGAAAAACAAAACATAGCCAGATATCTCTATTTTAAAACAATTTTTGTTTCATTTTATTTTATTTCAACATACCTAAACATAGATATAATCAAGGAAAATATTGCTTTTAAAACGATCTGTATGACCATAAAGCCAACAAAACTGATTAAATGTTTAAGTGTAACAATAATCTATAGCATCAAAACCACACCTAAAATTTATAAATTTATTAATACGCGATCACTAGGTCCCTAAAAATAACAATTTTAGAAGTGCATTGTGTCAATATTAGAGAACTATTGTTTTTAACAATTTTTCCTCAATTTCACTTTTTAAAATTCATCCAATATATTTAAGTTATATTATTACACAGTTATAATTAATGCCTTACTAGTCTGGCAGAATTTTGGCAAAACCTTAGAAAAAATAGATAAATAATATAAGTTTTTGCATCACATACTTACATGTATGTTTACAAAAATAGATAAATAATTTTGTTTTTGTATCCCATACATATGTTTTCACATGAACAGGATAATTAGTTTATTTATAACAAGAGTGGAAACATATTTTAGTTTTGTAAAAAGTTAAAAATGAGTGAAAAGGAAGAAAGATAGAGGATATTTGTTTGTTTGTGTGTAAGATGAAATTTTATTTCATCGAGTGGGCCTTTTAAAACAGTATTCTCACAAGTGGCGTAGCCATGAGTGAGAATACTGTTTTTTTTTAAGTTCACGAGATGAAATAAAATTACATCTTACACAACAAACAAACAAATTTTCTTTTTATTTTATGCTTAAAAACAAGTTAGAACGAAATTTCCATAATTTTAACGTTAATGTTTTCCCCATTGAGAGCCCCATTTAGTCGGAATTTCTCATTAAAAACTGAGCTGAAAAATAAGTCCGCCAATCAACGTTAAATGACGGTGATATTTATTCATTTTATTAAAAAGATATGAATGATCGATTGTTTAAATAATAAAAAACAAAACAATTCTTGTAGGAGAAAAAGTCCAACCATCCATATTTCTGTTACTTACTGCGAATTTATATTAGACTGGCTTTGTAAAATGTAAGCGGCAGCCATTTTTAAAGTTGTGTATTTCATGGGAGGAAATAATTGTGTAAGATTCAGAAGGATAGAATTTGAAAAAAAAAAAAAAAAAAAAAAAAGAATTTGGATTTGTTAGTCATACACCTTTTTAAAAGAAAGAAAACTTATTTGAGGATTGTAACAGACAAAAAATAAGTGTTGACAGATGTGAAAACATTCAGAAAAGGAGCTAGGAAAATGGAAAACTTGGAAGCTTGCTCAGAAACGCTGGGTTGTTTTACTTATTCTTCGAGTGATGGCTGTCATTGCTTTTCAATTTTTCATAAAGCATACGGCAGTTATTGCTCGTAGGATACTTTAATATGCCCAAATGTCACCAAGAGCAGTTTTGCATGGGGAAGGAATGTATTTTTCAGACTGTAAAAATGAAACAAAAACTTTTATTAACGAAATTTTGTGATTGGAATTTGAATGAATAGAAGTAAGTTTTCTTCTTTTTATTACTTTTGACATTTAAGTTATTTATCAATTTCAGCTTTGCTTTTTTTAAACAGCCTGACATTGTCAGAATTGTCAGCAAAAATAAAATTGAGGTATCACATGGGGAAAATCTTAAAAAGTAGTTTCGTCATTGAAAAGTGTGAAATTATATTCTGATAATTTTCACTGTGAAATTATCAAATATAATTTTCACGGATAAATCAGTAATCCACTGAAAAGCATAAAATAAAACGTTCTCTCATATGGCTATGCATTGTACTTATTATAATTTTATCTCTATTCTGTATGTATATATAGATGACACTATGATAAATACATAATAGATGTCATTGTTTGTAGAAATATGCACTCCATTTCTATAGTAAAAGAAATAAGTTTGAATAGCTTTCTATGGTGATATATCTTGTAAACCTTCTATTTTAAGGGACTTAAATTATGTAAAAATGTTATTAACAATAAATGTTGAGTTCGGTTTGTGATGATAGTTGTGGGCAATTGTTTGCTGCTAAGTTATTTTTACTTTATGGAAACTGTTCATTAAATACGCCCGTGCGTATTGGCTATCGGCAGGTACACCACTTGGAGTGAACCTGGTAATTGTCATTCATCTACAGGCAACATAAGATTACTATTTTTAGTTTTCATAATTAAATGGTTTGAGTGAGCCTGAAGTGTATTTGGTTAATGCTCTAGCTTTACAAGGCTAGAAAATACTGGATTAGATAATACTGATTTACCAGATTCTAACGTAAGAAACAATAGTCTTTTGTAGATAGTTTCTTATATGGTATACATCACTCTTGTGCACGTGACATTTGGATCTTTTTTACGATGACGTCTGAAAATAATTCCTCAGTCATGACAGTGTGCTATTTTGAAATAATAAGGAAATTGTTGATTTGCATATTTGCAATATGCATACTTTTTTTCTCCTTTTATTTCATGATATCAAAATCTGTCAATTTGTTTATGCCGAAATCTTTTTGCTTTTACATTGACTTCCGGTATATTTACGAGCCATTTGCCACCCTTTTCCCAGTATTTGCAGGATAAGTTAAATTGCTTTGCTTTACCCCCCCCCCCCCCCCCACCTTTCAGGTATCCAGTATTGTAAATGATACTTTGGTGAATTTTTACCTTAAGGTACAATTTCCAACGATTATCGATGAAGTGGGCAGGTAATACGTGCTTTGTGACTTCTAAGCAGTGATAATATTGGTTCATTATTTGAACAGTATGAATTTACTCAGCAACGTTTCAACTGGGTTTACCACGCCTGTGTATCTTTTTAAAGACACCCTGGTTTAGTATCATGAGGGTCATATTGTAATGAGTAGCAACGGCAGCTCGTATATGATAAGTAGAGTCCTTCAAAATATTCACCATGGACTTTACACTTTTCCAGCACCGGAATCCATTCCGAAAAAGCATTTTGAGCTGTTCTTTGTGTATACTGTTTATACACTGGTAGATAGCTTTTTCGGGTTTCGAACCGGCGTCCGCGAAGGCAAGATCTGAACCAAAAGTCAAAGGAGAGATGTCAGGACTATAAGCGGGATGTAGCAAAACCTCTATAAATAAGCTTGAACCAAAGTTGACCGATGCATAGATGCATCACCATAGAGTAACTTGATCCTGGCGCACCCAAGGACTTTGGGTTCTTTGTTAATGTAGAGAAGTGAGAACCATGGTCATGGTAAATGTTTCAGTGACACTAATCCTTTGTCAGGCACAGCGGACCATGGGCCACTATTCCATCACTAGTCAAAAATAGATCATACTCTTTAACGCTCCTTTGCTACGCTCGGAGCAACAACTGGGCGAATGCTGTTTTCACATACCAACATTTTGTTACTGATTTTATTGTCGGGCTCAAAAA